AACTCCCAGTTTGGGCGCATCCAAATGACATGTGATCGCGCACTTGCGCATGACACCAAACCCGGAAGTAGCCCCCAAATGTTATTGAAACATCACAAAAACGGCAGGGGCAGACTTAGGCACACTCATCAAAACATGTGGGGGTCCGGAAGAAAACTCCCACGTAAAAGAAGGATTGTCTGTATTTGAAGAAGGCTCTCATATCACCTCTCAGATTCCTCTTTCCAGGCTAAACATACCCAACTCCCTCAACCATTCCTCATAAGGCTTGGTCTCCTTCATCACCTTGGTCTCCCTCCTCTGCACACGTTCCAGCTTTTCAATATGCTGCCAATAACCTCTGACTTTTTGATTATGCCGCTGATGGTAAATCGATTTAAAATGAGACCATGCAAAAGCAAACACTTTCAAAATGGTCCTCCTCAAATGAGCAAAAGTGAGCAACTGCTGATTTGATTCCATTTTCTGGCTCAGTCCAGGATTAAGAGAACTGAGCTTCATTGCCTTTAGAAACCTTTACAACTAGGAGTTTAAATATTTCCCACATGGACAATACTCCCATTTTGAAAAACAAAACAAGAAAACTGCATGTAGATTGTTATTTCTATTATTTTCCTTGTAAAAAGGTAAAGGGACCCCTGACCACTAGGTCCAGTCGTGCCCGACTCTGGGGTTGCAGCGCTCATCTCGCTTTATTGGCCGAGGGAGCCGGCGTACAGCTTCCAGGTCATGTGGCCAGCATGACTAAGCCACTTCTGGCGAACCAGAGCAGCGCACAGAAACGCCATTTACCTTCCCTCCAGAGCGGTACCTATTTATCTACTTGCGATGGCATGCTTTTGAACTGCTAGGTTGGCAGGAGCAGGGACCGAACAACGGGAGCTCAAACCTTTGCGGGGATTCGAACCGCCAACCTTCTGATCAGCAAGCCCTAGGCTCTGTGGTTTAACCCACAGCGCCACCCACATCCTTATACTAAATGCTTTAATAGACCAAGACACACTATTACTGAAATGTATTGAGAATTCACATGTTGCAATAAATCATTTTATCATTATTATTAATGAACTGAACTGCAGGGTCTGGCGTGCCTTGGGATAGAAGTATATTTTAACAATTAGCTTCCACACACAAATACTTCAGGTCTGCTCTGCAAATCGTTTATTTAAAGTTATTACCCATCCTGGTGGTAGTAATAGGTTAAAAGATGTTAAATTTCCAAATAAAATCAGATTTCAGAGAGCTGAAACACGTCTAACGATAATCCTACCTTCCCTGTTTTCCCTCACTTTACTGCAGTCACTGAAAGCTGTCCCAAATTAAAAGTTGTAAGTTGCTTGGACTGCATAGCTTTAGGTTATTCTGTGTTTGGGGGCTATTTACAGTTACCATCTTTCCATATTTTTTGTTCTCAAACAGTAATAGTTCAGAAACCAAGCAGGTTATATTAAATATAGCCAGGATGATTCCCTCCCCTATTGGCTAAATCATTCCACACTCATGAATAATTCAAGCCTCTTCTGCCATTTCGTTTCCGACTCTCCCAAAGTCAGCTTTAGTTATTTCGAATGCATTTATACTCTCTTCAGAATTTCCATCAATGTAATGAATATGTTGAGAAGCACAAAACTGATCATTGGGATTCTCTGCATTTTATTTCTAGTGAGCATTTTGGCTTCGCCCCAAAGACTGCACTCTGTGTCTAGAGAGCCCTTCTGCCCATCCAGATCCAGTGCGCCCAGAACGCCAAGCCGTGTCTCAGCACAAAGGCGCCACGTGGGGCCTCCAGGAGCCAAGAGCAGGAGTGGCTTTGCTCCTCCCCTGCTCCCGCTGCACTTGAGCCAGGGTTTCGCTTAACGCTGGGGCACACTTCCCCGGGGGAAACCTCTCTTTAGCACCCAATGGGAGCAAACTGCAATCGGGGTTTCTCCAGGTTGACATTTGCTCCGATTTAGCATTAAAGAGCTGGTTTTCCCTGAGAAAGGAGCAGGACAAAGAGAAGACTTATTGGGCTCATGCCTAGAAAGCAAGGTTCAAGCGGAAAACCACTCAGATCTGTGTTTTCTAGGCAGAAGACAAGTCTGGACGAGCCCTTAATGTTATGTCTGACCCAAGCTCATTTTTTAACTCACCCCACAAATCTCTTTGGGAGGCCACAGATTTGCTTGTTCACATTAATCCAATGTTTTGGCTTCGTGTTACGTGCAAACTGGGCCACAGTGGCCTGAGATGCGTGTTTTCAGGGCCGACCCTATTCCTGCCACCTTAATCTGTTTGGAGTGTTTTCGATTCTGAATTTTAAATTGTTGTAAGCAGCCTTGGGACTTGCTGGTGCAGGTCAGCTAATAAATGTAATCATCACCATCACCATCACCAGCTCAATTATTTCTCCCAACCAGGGCAGGATCCTCCCTGAAAACGCTGCTCTGGAGGGACAGCCAACCTCTAGAGCCTGTTCTCAAGGGCAGTAGAAGGCCATCAGCAACCTTTCGCCCTGTGTGAGTGGAAGCACCTCAGAGTGCAACCTTTGTAGTCCATCTTACATCCAGCAGTTTGAATCAGTGGCAATGCATCTGTGCATGTTCGCACCCCCACCTCATATGGTCCTTCTGGCAGCATTTGAGGAACATTATTCTTAAAGTCTTTTTGAAGGAAATATCTTGTGTAGAATCACAGAACAGCCTCTTGGAAGACAGTCTATGACCTCTTGAATCGGCCCCAGCCTTCTCATTTGAGGACAGTAATAAACAAGGAAACCACATTGTGCAATACTACATGGGGATATAATCCCACAAATCCCTTTTCCTTGAACATTTTGGTTCCATTATCAGCTCCTTTCTCACCATACTGGCAAATGTCACCCTAACAGCTTATAAATTGTGTGGGACAAAGCTTGTGTTATTTGCTAACACAACAAAATGAGTTAACAGAGGCCATTACTGCAAGAAGGGTTTCTAATATATTAGCAAACATGATAATGCAATGGAAAATTACTGGTACTAATTTGACCTCCAGAAATACACTAAATAGAATGTTTGACTCACGGTTGCACTGAATAATTTATCTGCAGATGAAATCTGAGGTTTTTGCAAAACCTGCTGGAGGTTTGTGATTTGGGATGTTTTTATTGTCTATGCATCTCTATTAATCTGACTGATGTAGGCGGTTTCAGATTGTTGATATTTGTCTAAGTGTCTAAAATAAGTGTCTAGAATAAGTTAGATTTACAACTTCATAGCAAGATATTCACAGCTATATAAAACCATGTGAGGAAATTATTTATTCAAGTCCAAGTCCAAGTCCTGAGAGCGTTGCATAGATAAAATTGTAGAAATTCAAAAATAAGGAAAGGGAATTAATTCACTACTGCTTACTGGGCCAGATCTTTAAGGGGGGGGGAGGACCCAGAGTCTCTTGACTGCTTTCCTCCAAGTTGTCAGCCATCAGGTCTTCCAGCAACCCGCTCGTTCTTCCATTTGGGACTACTGCTGGACCAATTGGGACTACTGCTGGATCCATTGCTGTCACTTGAGACTCAGCTGGGCTCGGTGGCACAAAGTGCCTTCCATCAGCTTGGGCTAGTGGCCCAGTTGCACCCGATCTGTTATCTGTCCTGTCGGTACTTCTAGGTTAGATTACTGCAACACGTTATATGTGGGGTTGCCTCTGAAGAAAGTTTGGAAACTTCAGCTGGTGCAGAATTCAGTGGCCAGGTTGCTCACCAGGGCAAGACGGGTTGAGAGTACATTGCCAATCCTGGCCTCTGTGGTCAAGGCTTTGACCCTGATAGGAGGCAGAGCCTGGGAGCTCCTTGGTGGAGCTGAGTAGCACTTGGCCAGAGCAGAAAGCATCATCTGACAAATGGGGAACAGAGCTTGGCTAGGAGGAGAGATGGGTGAGGTCTCCCCCAAGCTCACATTGGATTAACCAGGAAAGGAGACTCTTCCCATCTAGATCATTCCTGGGAGTCCTGAGGAGAACTGCTTACCACATGGGGAGTCCCCAGGCTTGGGAAACCAGCATGCTGTTAATCAGGACAACTGAGCAATGACGAGGGAGGAGGAGTGGAAGGGGACAAACCTCCTTCTTGACACTCCCATGCCAGCTGCTCCCTGACACTTGCCAAAGAAAGGAAAGGGGCTGGTGTGAAGGCTTGGTGGGATGGTGGGTTGATCTGAAAGCAGGAAAGGATTTGGCACAATGCAAGGCTGCTAGGAATCTGCTCAAACTCCCAAGCAACTAGACCATGAGAACCTAGCACTGCATTTGCCACCCTGCTTGAAGCCAGGCAGGTCTTCTCCAATATTAGAGTCAGAGATGAGATATTGGCCAGGGGGGACTGTGATGTGTCAAATGATGGAGAGACGGGGAATAAGTTACATTTGCTGAACATGGCAACAAGAGAAGGGGAAACTAGCATGTTTTGGACACTTATGCCCTCCCCTCTCATTAGACAAAGGAACATGTTGCCTTCATCCCACCCTTGTGCTTGTGCACGAAAGAGCATGAAATATAAGGAAGATCCTTAAATATAACTGGGTGCCCATTTGATTGGATTTGAGTCATTAGCTAGATTTTGTAGGTCCTAAAACTCAGGTGGACTCTGCAAATATTTATTTTATCTATTTATTTAACAAAATATACATATTTGTAAATTTAAAAGGCTAAGCACTTTACAAAGAATATGAAATGTATGCAAAACTGCCAATAAAAAATAAAGTTAAAAACAAGTTTTTAATTTAAAATAGGAGTAAAATCAACAGGTAAAATTATACATTTAAATGAAAATTACAGATTAAAATGTACGTCAACTTTACATGCCTGGGTAGGTTTGCCTAAGCAGAAAAGTTTTTTGCAAGTGTTGAGAAGAACAGAGGAAAGGTGACTGTCTAATGCCAATAGGAGAATCGGTCCTCCACATGAGCCACAATACGCCTTCATGGCTCACTTCTAGCAAAGCAGGAGCAAGAACCATATTCATTTTCCTTTTTTACTTTCAGTAAAAAATTCCAAGAAGACCATACAATCCAATTATTACAGAGGAAGAAATATTTGAAATGGAAGTAAAGAAAACTAATCTCTTGTTTGAGATGAAAACAATGGTGAGTTGGTTCCTGTATGTATAGCATATCTATGTGTGGTCAATAAGGATGTATGTTGTCTGAGAGTAAGAGTCTCTGCCACAATGTGTATGGCTAGCTGGAAGGAAATCCACTTGATAGCCTGTTTTCAACAGAATCCTCCAACATCCCTATAGTTAGAGAATCGGTGTCTAATATACAACATTCAGTATCTAGGATGCAGGCCATGGCATTTAAGATGGAAATCAGTTCCTGCGGAAGAATTATGCAGCTTGCAAATGTTTGGAAATGCCAGACTGATCCTTGTAATGCAGAGAGACAATTTAGAAAGGAGGTAATCCCAATAGGCCACCATTGCTTTTATAATACTAAAATGCATTGCTTTCAGGAGCTACAACATCCACTTGTTGCTACAAAAGAATAGTCATTCAACTGACCTCACTGATTTTGACATTTTAAGAATATTAAGGCCCCAAATTGCATATCCTGCTTCTAAACCATTCAGCACTGGCTTCTTGTGCTTTCATATTGTGAAACTGGACCTGCACAGCTACTGTGCATCATTGCCTAATCTAGAAGGCTTTCTTTAAAGCCTTGGGAAAGATTGCTTTCTTACAGCCAAGTTTGAACTTTGAATGAGCCCTCTATTAAGGCTCATCAAACTGCTTTTGCAACATGTTGAAGCAGCAAACCCAGGACAAAATTGTCATGAGGTTCTGAGCAGGTGGCTCCAACTACTCTGAAGGATTTGGGGCAGGGCGATTAATATATGTAACACATCAGTTTTGTGCTGAGAGCCAGTTACAAAACTTGTTTGTTTCCTAGCTAGTAAATAAAGGCAGGTAAAGGGTTATTTAGTCTGGATTGGTTGAGTGGGAGAGTACAGTCAGCATTCATAACATGCGTGCATTTGGAAAGAAAAATCAAAATGTAGGATTGGGATTAATAAACACCAACCTTTTCTTTGCATCACTAAATATCAAACTTTGCAATCTTTAAAGGCATCTAGTGATCTGTAAAATAGTGACATTTGAAGCTGGGGAGAGGTGAAAATTGTATGGCATTTGGCAGGCTGTTAATCATACTCTGGTCAAAATTAGTTTATGTTAAAATATGCTGAAACTAATATCATAGGTAACTTTTGCATTGTTGAAACAGGGACTGCACAATGTAGCACCGGATTTGGCGCTTAAAGGCACATCCCAGCAGTCCTCCCTCTAGCTCTTATTCTGGCAAATGCACCATAATTTCCAATAATGCAAAAAATGAAACAAAAAACCCTTTCTCTGCAGATGGAAAGAGTGTGGATAAAGCTATTTGTATGCACCCAGAAATAAATAAATAAATAAATAAATAAATAAATAAATAAATAAATAAATAAACGTGTTGAACGAATGAGAAATTTTCAATAACTTCAGAATTAAAATTTTAATTTCAAACTGCTGAAATGTTGCTTATGAAATTTGACACTCCTAGTTCAAGATAGAAAAAAATCTAATTATTAGATCAATATATACTTGCTAACTAGCACATCTTAGTGAGTGTGATGGGGTTTACTTTCTTATGTGCAACTTAAGTCTGCACGCCTGTTGTTTGAAAGTATATCGCTGTTGCCAAGAGTCTGTTTGGCAAGTCATCTTTCTTCCCTAAAATTCCTAGAGGAGAGAGCATCTATAAATAGGAATGATGAAATAATTTAAATAATATAGATTTGTTTTATTTAATTTTTTGCAAACAAATTTAGACTATTTCCACATTTTCAATTCAGTTGTGTGACTCCTATAGTTGGAAGGAAAGAACTTTACATTAAAATACAGATACATAAATATTCCTTGTTGCACAATTGCTCTGTTCGACATTTGGGTTCAACAACCCAATGCCGTATTGAAAAACTTCATTTTTAGTATTTATTTAAATAAAAATGAAATTATCCTCCCTCCTTTTCAAAATGGAAAGCCTGAATTGGTCAGTCCATTTCCTTTCTGGAAGCAAGGAAATGACCTTCATAGCTCACTTGAGGTCCTGTCTCTTTAGAGTTATGGTCCATTCCCTTGTTAGTGATAATAAACTGTATTACATTCCACTTCACACTGAGGGAGACGATCTCCATAATGCCAAGTATTTTTTGTTTTAAAAAATAAAAGGTCAGCACATTATTCTCTCTGTGTTTTATAAAAAAGATATAACATAACTAGTTCAAATACTTTCATAGAAGATATATGTCCCCCCCCCCCTAACATTTATGTTTTGCACCTAAGTAGCCAACCTAGCAGTTCAAAAGCATGCCAGCGCAAGTAGATAAATAGGTACCACTCCGGCGGGAAGGTAAATGGCGTTTCTATGTGCTGCTCTGGTTTGCCAGAAGCGGCTTAGTCATGCTGGCCACATGACCTGGAAGCTGTGCACCGGCTCGCTTGGCCAATAAAGCGAGATGAGCGCCGCTTTGCTCTTCAGCCTGAGGGCAGAAAGGCTCCCATTGCAGGAGCCTCTGAAATATTTTGCACCCTTTGAGTGACCCTTTCAAAAGCGTGTGAGGGCTCCAAGGGTCAGGGTGTTTTCTCAACTTGCCAGACTCCCTTCTGGCCCCTCTCAGGTGGGTGCCGTTGCTATTCGAATAGAAGGAGGGAGGTGTTCGTGGTGAGTTCTGGTAGCTCTTTTTCTGGGGAAACAGCACTGCGCAGGGTTGCATGCGCCTAAGGGCATGAAGGTCTTCAGGAAAATTCTAACCATGTCCAGCTGAACATTGCTAGACTATTCCTAGGTACCTTTTTAGGCAAGACTAAAAGTTGGGACGCGGGTGGGACGCGGGTGGCGCTGTGGGTAAAACCTCAGCGTCTAGGCCTTGCCGATCGTCAGGTCGGCGGTTCGAATCCCCGCGGTGGGGTGCGCTCCCGTTGCTCGGTCCCAGCGCCTGCCAACCTAGCAGTTCAAAAGCACCCCCGGGTGCAAGTAGATAAATAGGGACCGCTTACTAGCGGGAAGGTAAATGGCGTTTCCGTGTGCTGCGCTGGTGCTGGCTCGCCAGAGCAGCTTCGTCACGCTGGCCACGTGACCCGGAAGTGTCTTCGGACAGCGCTGGCCCCCGGCCTCTTAAGTGAGATGGGCGCACAACCCCAGAGTCGGACACGACTGGCCCGTATGGGCAGGGGTACCTTTACCTTTACCTTTTAAAAGTTGGAAGGGGAGGAAAAGTTGGGATAGGAGAGCAAACAACCACAGGATGTTGGGGATGGGGTGGTGCATGTGACTCGATACAGTTTGAACCCTCCCCATGTGTTCTTTGGGATGAAGCATATCACAAAGATTCATAGACCTAATCAACTTGTCTATACAAACCACTATCTCCAATTACACAATAAGACCTAATTCATTTAAGTAATTCAATTGCATGATTAATAAAAACCACAGTATAGTATTACTAAGGACAGAAAATTGCATTCATAATGTAGATTCTGTGGCTTTAAAGTAATTCTCCAGGAACCTCTTACCTTCTCTCTGCACTATTGGCCTATATGACAGGCCTTAATTAGCACAGATTTTTCACGTTCATCGGTAGATTGGAAATTTGGAGGCAGTTAATGAGAAAGGTCTATTACCTTGACCAGGCTAAAATTACAGTTAGAGGACATTTGCTTGCTCCAGTGGCTCACTGCATACAAATATTTAAATATTAACATACTGCATACACACACACACACACACACACACACACACACACATGTGCTGTATGTTAATATTTAAATATTTATTTATATAAATATCCCGTGATCTTTAACATTGCAGTTGCTTAGCACCACCAAAGCTCTCAGGTTATATCAGAAGGATGATGGTGATTGACTACAATAATTTAATTCAAGAAAAAGATAAATTTGAGAACACCTCAGAATAGTGAGGAAGGCCTATAGAAGGGTGTTGCATCATGGCATCCTTCTATAGGCATGGCATCCTTTTATAGGCATGGCATCCTTCTATAGGCATTTCAGGAAAAGTACGGTTGGCCAGGAGGTGCCTGCAGAGCATCAGATAATAATGGATTATTATTATTATTTTTAAAAAAGAATGATAGCAGCAGTAGATTTAAAACAACAACAACACTCCACAGCCAACTCCTTTCCCTTCTCCTCCAATGGTAAAAATAAAACCTGGCAGAAAAGACCCGTTCAGTGCTGTCTTAGACTTGTCAGTTCTAGCTCCGCATTGTTTACCGAGACAGACAGACCTGGAGCTTTCCAGAACTGGATGTTTCCAATTTTAGTATATGTGCTGCCGAAGCGAGCACCAGAACTGGATGTTTCCCATCACCTGCTAGCTGAATCTTTTAACTGGAGGTCCCAGGAACTGAACCTAGGACATCCTGCAGGCAACGCAGATGCTCTGTCACCAGACAATGGCCCTTTTCCAGCAGCTTGGCTGTTGCAAAATACAGCAAAACACAGCCTCAAAGGGGCTCAATTCTGCATAGACTTCCCAGGTAGCACATTTAGTGCCTGATCCCACCTGGGTGTCAGGGAACTGCCATCAGCTCAGAGGCGAGAGGTGGAAGGGCAGTTGGGTTACAGGGAGCCTCCAAATATCGTGAGAAGCAGCACTTCTCCCTCTGCGGAGGAGAGAAGCCTCGCCTCTAGTGGGGAAGAGATGCAGGGCTCGGAGGATGCAAGGGAGAGACACAGCGCCAAGCATGAACAAAGCGCGGGGGGAGGCAGGTCCCCCTCTGCGCACACCCTCTCTGTGCAGAGAGGGGAGGCGTAGGATGAGGGTCAAGAGACTACTCTGCTGGGGAAAGTTTAAGGACCGCCCACTCCCAGATTCTGCTAGTGAATGAGCGAGACATGGAATTGAGACGTTCTGCACTGCGAATGTTTTCGCATCGATAATAAAGCCTTTGAAAAGACCAGTGTATAAAACATGTAAGAAATGTTGGAAATGTAAAGAAAAGGATGGCACTTTTTACCATATGTGGTGGGAACGTAAGAAAGTGAAGAGCTTCTGGGAATTGATATATAATGAATTGGAAAAAATGTTGAAATATACATTTGTTAAGAAACCAGAGGCCTTTTTGTTAGGAATCTTAGGAAATGAGATAAATAGAAAGGACTGTAAACTTTTCCAATATGCAGTAACAGCGGCAAGAATATTACTGGCTCAGAGATGGAAACAAGAACAAGTACCTACATTGGAGGAATGGAGAATGAAGCTGATGGACTATGCAGAACTTGATAAAATGACAGGGAAGATCAGATACCTACGAGATCAAAAGTTTATTGAGGACTGGGGAAAACTAGTGGAGTACTGGGGACGGATAAGTGGTAATGAAATAACGTTAGTGGCATTTAAAGAAGCTCTGTAAAAGTTTAAGAAATATTGTAAGAAAGGAAAACAGGGGTGGAAGGGTAGGTTAAAAGGCAATAGAAAATTTAGGAAATGTGTAATTAAAATGTTTATTTCGGATGATTGTCAGAAAGGCTGATGGAAGTTCAAAAATGGAAAAATTTATTAAGTTGTAATGTACATTTATTTTTCTTGATGAAAATTAATAAAAAATATTATTTAAAAAAAAGAAAAGAAAAGAAAAGACCAGTGGGGGTCTTGCCTGTTCGCCCTCGAGCAACCACGCCAGCACACATAACACTGGGTATAACAGGGAACTCAAATTCCTGCATCAACATTACGTGCCCGTCTCAAATCATACAATATCCTGTTCTACATCATTTTTATTTTTAGGCAGTTATTTTATTATATATTTATATAATCAAGTCTTAATTACAAAATAACCTATCCCTTCACAGCTATTCCTAAGGGGTTTGATTTGGACAGAGTTTGCTCCCCTGTTGCATTTTTCTTAGTCTAGTGTGATACATTTCTCGGAGCCCTGCTTGAAAAGTCCACCCTCCAAATCTTGGGATTTTCAGAACATGTTGCCTTTCCTTCTAGCCAAACCTTGCCCTCCCCACTCACATTAGACGAGCCCAGCACAGCTGGTACAAATCAATAAATAGCAGGGTTGTATTTATGGCAGGGTTGTATATGCTCAATAAGTTAAGGCTCAGTTACTCAGTTAGTTATGGTGATGCTAAAATATATTTCTGTGTACTGTGCTCTGAGACAAAGAAACAGGCAGAATGTATTCTCTTAGATGAGGCTTTCCCCCTTTCTGACCTTTCTTCCTAAAGCTTTAGGATTAAATGCAAATTACATGTGTTTACATTTCCAGTGTTTTAATAACTCTGAAGCTGTGATCTATTAAAGCTGAAATGTCTAGTTAAAAAAAAAAGACAGATGGATTGATTCTATGATTCCAGTCCAATGGAAATCACTTGAGTTCATATTTATTATTATTATTATTGTTCATTCTCTCTCTCTATTATTATTATTATTATTATTATTATTATTATTATTATTATTATTATGCCATTTACCCAACTGGGTTGCCCCAACTCCCATCAAAATATTAAAAACACAATGAAACATCAAATAACCCAAGTTATTGTGATTTGAACATGGGGGTTCCATTTGCAGTTACCATGGCTTAGCAATAGTACCTTCATAGGCCTATCTTCCCTGAATTGGCCTGATTCTGAACTGCTGCTCTTTTTCTATAGGAAATGAGAAGAGAGGAAGAGCTGAAGGAAAGAATAAAGAAATACATGCTCAATGGGAGAAGGAAACCTCCTCCAGAATCCCCAGGTACGGTACCATCTTGCATGAAGTTCAGCTTATGTTTCAGGAGGACCATGTCAGCAAGCAATACACTGCAGGATGCCCAAGAATCCCATGGAAAAGTCCAGCCAATTATTGGCAACCTACAGGGCTGGCCCAATACATTTTTGGCCCTGATATCCCCCCCCCTGCCAGGGAGAAAGGGTGAGTGAAGATCTACATCAGGAACATGGATGGAATCAAGATCTACATTGGGATCTACACTGTGCCCCTCTGGATCCTGCCACCTGAGGTGGTTGCCTCCCCTTGCTTCATGAGTGGGCCAGCCCTGATAACACAGTTGGCATTAATTGGATCTGGATCCAATCCAATACCTGCTGTCTCTCCTACCGCACCCTTGACATTGGTGGAGGGCACCTTGAGATCCATGAGGAATGAGGCCACAGCTCTTGGATGAGTGTCCAAATGCACTTTTAATAAGAAGGGCAGCTTACATTCAACATTAGTGCTCCAATCCCATTCCCCAGCAAACCCACCATTCACACAACCCTTCTGTCCATGAGGACCATTGTGAGCAGAGCAGGCTGTGCAACAGCTTCCCTTTGCAGAAGAACCAGAATTCTGTCCACATTGTGTTCTGATGGAAGCACGACTTTCTCAGTATTGTGCCATGCTCAATATTGTGCCATGCTCAGTCCAGGCTGCGTGTCTGTATATCAGGCCCACATGACGGAGGCTCAATTAGCTGGATAGGTTACGTCTAAACATGTGCAAGACCCTCTTGAGAAATTACCCGGGATGATCCATTTACCTCTTTAGTCAGCTGTGAATTTCCAAAGGCTCCAGCAGAATTTGGCCCACACTCTCCAGCTATTATCCAAATATTCACAGCTTGATATTCAAAGTCCTCAGACTATGGCCATTTTAATAACAGTTGGAGAATCAGGGCAAACAGCACCACACGGGGAAAACCAGACCAATATCACTGGCTGGATATTACGATTGTCATGGTTCTTCCCACTTGATCACCCCTCTTCCATGTCTTTTCTGAATTCCAGTATTACTGGAGCAGCAGGATTGAACCACCAAGGAATGCTAATCACACTCCTTTTGTGACATAACAATTGCTCATTAGCCCTTTGTGCTGCCTATGAAAGAAACATTTATTGCAATTGAATCAGCAGGTCATTAAATCCATCCTGTGAAAAACCACAAATCTGTGAATACACCATGAATTCAACACGGCACATTTACACACATCCTGAACTTATCTTCTGCTACAAGAGAGTCCTTCACCCCTTGTTCTCTGGTCAGATTTGAATATCAAGGGTGGGGTACGGGGAAAATTCCACACACAGAAGCAACTATCTCCTTTCCATCCCCCTCCTCCCCCAATGAAGAAATTAATTAAATGATGTCATGCTTGATTTTATCTGATTTGGAAGCAATTCATCACTCTTTTGCTAGTTCTATTAGTCCAGGCGATCAGCATGTTAATTCATTTGTGAGAATAAGCTCAAGGGTAATTACAGCGGGGAAACTTAATGCCTAAACGTGTTAATGTCTGTAATCAGAACTATTTTCTCAGTGCGGAACAATTGTTAGACAATTACAGTTGGATATGATTGCCCTGGTAGACAACAGAGGCCATGTCAAGAGGGAGATATCAGAGGCTTGTTTTGCAAGTACAGTATTGTAAGCAAGCTCATTTTCCAGATTGGCTCCTGCCAATCTGTCTTCTTTCTTGAAACACTGCACTGTTAATCATGTTGAAAAGTTACCAACTTTTCTCTTTCTTCTTGTGAGGACAGGGAAGGGGCATAAAGGACACGGGACACAAGAAAATCACTTGCTCCTGTAAATGTCACCAAGTTTTGCTGGGCTGAGAGGTACCACCTGTGTGATAAGATGCTCCTAATTTTCTGCAGATCCTAATAAGCAATCAGCATTGCTTACCGGTAAATAGGAATGGATAAGCAAGGTGGACTACTTTTTTTTAACAAAAAAGGAGAGGTTTCATTCCCTCCTGCAGACCAAATGAAATGGAATAAATTAGCTATATGGCAGGAAGACTTTTATTTTGATACTTATATTGGGATCAAGCCAACTATGAGGAACGTTATGGGTTAGAGGTGATAGCAGAGATTATCAATTAAATGTGCTGACGAAGGACAACCCATATTGAGAAATGCCATTCAACCGCTCTCTTCCCCAACCCCTATCTGTGCCTCATAGAGGCTGCTGGAGGCTTAACGGAGGTGGTGATTCTGTGCTTGAGCTGTGCTACCTCAGACTGCAGGTTGGGTCTCCATACAAAATAACTGAATAAAATCCCACCATATAAAGAGTGGTCATCCTAAGGGAGAAGGCTAGGCCAGATCCCTTTTCCCTTTCATGCTAGGGGGTGCTTCTGTTTGGTCTGTTCCCAAATTGTAAAGTATGATATGTTGTTGTTTTTTGCTATGTACAAGCATCCCATCATGTTAGCCCACACTTGCAGTCAGAAATGGGACTAGCCAGGCCAGACCTTTGCCCTGTCTGGCTGACCCAACACCTGATTTATATTCAAGAAAACGAAGTGTTCTCTGCCTGCATTCAGACTTCCTTTGGTATGGTCAGAAAGGCTCAGTGTGTTCACACCTTCCTGAAGCACTGACGGCAGTATGAGCCCCAATTTGACTGGTGTTTTCTTCTCCACCGTCCTATATTACGAGCCCTCAAGGTGTATCTCCATTTCGTACATTTATTTACTTAAATATGACTGAACCCAGCCCACCTCGCCTTTCCATATTTGGATAAAGTCTCTTGCATTGTAAGTGGCTGTGAAATCAAGGAGGCGGCTGGGCTCAGCAAAAGCTGGGGAACTAGTATCAGCCCATAGATGTGTACCACTAAATGCAGGCATTGCTGTTCAGTCCGGTGAGCATACTGATGCATTTCAGGAAAGCTGTAGCCGCCCAAACTAAAGAGGGCAGCTGAGTATGGCCCAGGCCCAGATAAGCCTTGCCAGGTATATTTCCCCAAGATCCATTTTTTAAAAAAATATTCCTGAGATGATCCTGGCATAAAGGGCCTCCTCTGCTTCAGATCATTTTAAAATTATGAGGGAGCCTCTGCCACCAGATCAGCAGTGGTGCCCCTGCTGCAAAAGGACCAACCTTGACAATCTCTCATGGGGTGGTTTCATATTTATTGCAGAGGAGTGGGTGTGCCTGGGAAATGCAAAGGTTCCCTTTCAGGCAAGCCTGTGCCAATTAGGATGCACCAAGTGGACTGGAATCCATCGGTTCTGCCTCGTGGCCCACGGGGAGCTCTTCATTCCCAAGCAGGCAGCAAAACAAGGAAGTTGATTGAGCCTCTTTTGGCTCACCAAACATGGCTAGTGGGTGACAATGCGTGCAGGTCAGCTTTTAGAGGCAATGGTGACTCACCTTTGAACTTCGGCAGTTTGCCTCTTTGTCTCTCCTTACACAAATGAGAATAAAACAGGCCGCAGCTTTCTGGTCACATGAAAGTAGCATGTCTAATTCGTTTTCCTCTTTCGCCGTCAACAGGCTGTTTAATCTGCAGAAGAGCTTGCTTAGCATTTGCTAGCTGAACACAGTGTGACTGCATTTGGGAAGGACAAGAGGGGATTAGCAGGAGGAGATCCCGAGGGCTCTTCTGCTGCGCTAAACTAGTCACCCTTTCCTGCCTTTCCCTATAGTGATCTCCCAGCTCAACCAGGCTGGCCACCTGCCTTCTCTTTCATTCCAACTCAACCCAGATGCTGTAGGGGTCTAGAAGGTGCATTGAGCTGAGTCAGTCTGGGAATACTGGGTATTTGCTACAAATACCTCGTATCCCACTGGTGTTTTAAGAAACCTATTTTCTGACATTGGAAGAAAAGCCTCCAGCTGAAGGGGCCTCAATCTGGTGTTGAACACAAGGGTCTTATGTTCATGTGAAGCAAAACCAAATAATGCTTCCTTCTCCCTCCACCATTTTGTTTCCAACAGTCCCTCAGCCAGAGAAAAAGGAGAGGAGAAAAGTATGGGAATGACTGTCAAGGCCCAGGAGGAGGTGAGAATAAAGCATAGGGTACAAATCCCAAAATCTCTAGAGTTCAAATCCCCGCTCAGCCATGAAGCTCACTGGGTGAGTTTGGGGGCCAGCCACTGCTTCTCAGCCTTACCTACCTCACAGGCTTGTTGTAGGGATTAAAAGAGGAGGGGGAGAACCTTGTTAGCCCCCTTGATCTTCTTGGAGGAAACAGTGGGATAGAAATGCAACAAACAAACATTCATTTCCAGAGAAAGACAGGCGCCAGTTCTCCCCTGTGCAGGCCCTTGCCAGATATCTTACTGCTTCCCCAAAGCTATTTTCCAAGACCAGATGAAGGCCAATGGTTGGTACAAGAGCCTGGGGAGTATTTGCAGTAGGAGACCAGGGGGCTTAGGAAAGGTAAGGCATCCACCTTCTACTTGCTGATACTATTTTGAAAGTCCTGCTGCTGCCGCAGCTGATGCACACATTTAGGGAAATACAAGCATGACAGGTAATTCTGCCCACAGCGTGAATGCTTTTGGAGCAGAGTGTAACTATTTCTCCTGGATGTCCTTTTCAAGGGCAGAACCCACCCTATACTCCCCTGGTTGATGCCGTTTAGGGACAGAGCAGCAAGGAAGAACAATCCTTTGCTTCCCACTGGCGTGGCAAAGCAAACAGTACAGAAGCGAAGGACTTTACTGCTAGAATGAATGTAGGAGTAAGAAAAGGCACCTAAGGTTTAATCACTGTAGTATTTTTAAGAGCCTTATGCACATGCTGCTTTAAAATTCTGACGTAAGACTAGAATATGCCCTCCTTGAATATTTGATATCTTGAACAATGCCTGGACCCTAATAAAATTCAAAATGTAATCAATTAAATCAATTAGAAGATTAAATTCTACCATGCTATGTGTACCACTAGCAAAATTTACAAATCACATAATCAATGCAATCCATTAACACTGACAAAGGGTGGAGGTGATGGACTGGAA